CATCATGGAATAGAAAAAGGTTAACTTTGCCAAAGAAACTATCAAAGACATTCCACCATTCTTTTTTTTTTTTTAATCAATGGTTTTATAAATCAATAGTAGATATATATAAAGATGTAAATATTAATACCATTAATATTATCCTGGTAGAGATCAAATTTTGATATAGGAGGTGGTTTTTACTAAGTCGATGCCTCAGCCAGAGAATTTCTCCTCAATTTAAGAGTTGTAAGTTTTGTATTTCATCGTCTTCACAAGAGAAAAAGGTGAGTCTTTAAAGACTTAAGTTTTTTTCTACCAGAAAAAAGGGCAAGAATACATGAGCCATGTTATATCAAAGTTACAAACAAGAAACAATAATTACAGTTGATGAAACAACATATTTACATTTTTTTCAATCATATGCCTCATGCAAGTAGTTCTGCACAAAGTCAGAGCCTTGTTGTTAGCATTAAGAATTCCACTTTATGGTCAGCCTGATTGGGTCTTGTTGAAGGGTTCTTAAGAAAGAAGGGAAAAAATTAATTCAGACAATTTCATGGAGAAATTTTTAATCGGGAGTTAACAGTAACTCATGACGGCATTGACTTTGCTCCGCCTCTCTCTCCGATTGGTCTCGACCAATCAGAGTGATGCAAAACCAAACCAAGAGCTTCGAATGATAGCATGACCTTTATCGCCCTTGACAATGAAGTTTGCAGAGATTGCACGGTATTTTAAAATTAAGGATTAAGCGTTTAATTCCTTCAGACGTTATGATCTCCCTTTATAAAGCCTACGTGTTACCGCACTTAGAATATTGTTGCCCATTACTTCTGGGCATATCTCAAGCCTTGAAAAATAACATCGAACGTATCAATCATTATGCGATCAAAACATTACTAAATTTAGGTAATTCGACCACCTATAACTTTTCCTTAGCAATGGCTGATATGAGCAAGCTTGAGCAAAGGCGTATCCTGCAATGGCTTATTCTATTTTTTTAAATGTTTTAAACTAGATGGCCCAAATTATATTTCTCAATAGTGGCTTAAATATTGTGCAGGCCTCATATAACAACCTTGACATGCACAAGTCCTATTTATAGACCACTTTCATAAATGGCTGCCGGATTAATATTCTTTTGTTTAAATTTAAATTTGCCCGAGTGGCCTCGCTTGAGGTAATGTATTCTTTTGAATTTTGTACCGGAGAACGAGGCCACCCAGGCAAATTTGTATGTAAACAAAAGAATTCTAATCCGTCAGCCATTTATGAAAGTGGTCTATACCTGATTTCCCACATATGGAATCAACTACCAACTGTCACCAAATCCTCGTGCACTTAAGCACAATTTCGTGCTCGGCTGAATAATGTCAATTTCACAGGGTGCCAATGTATGAACAGTATTAAACTTTATATATTCATATTTTTATTCACTCTTCGGCTAGTTTATATTTATAAAATTCATATCTAACATATTATATAATCAGATCTACATATATATATTGATATTTTTTTTTCTTAAATTTAGATGTTCTTAAGTTTCTCTTAACACTTGTGTATGGATAATTCTCGTATTTCTTAGTTTGTCGAGCGTTTTTAACATGAGCCTCTGGCTCGGAAGATTGCGCAAGCACTTCNACAAAAGAAAACAAAGCAGATATGCAAAGCTATGCAAACCTTATCAAACCTGTGTTAGATTTTAAAATTTGTTTCTTCGACCACCCAGCCGTTCACTTGCGGACACCTCATAAAGTATTTAGACCTCAAGCAGCAAAGTTGAAGAAAATGTACTTAGTGGAGACTTTGATGATTCTGTTATTACGCCTGGAGGCATAATCTTTGCATGGTACCCATGACCTTAACGAAAAGAAACCCAAAACCCAAAAATGATGTTCGGGCAAGTTTCTGCCCCTGAAAGATATCAAAAAAAGTTCGTTTCTATGTCGCAGCAAATGGCTTTTCAGTCACCGTTCTGATAAACTGAAACTAATACAGAGCAGCACTTAAAAAGCATTAAACTATGAAGTAAAACGCCGTGTTTTCGATTTCAAAATGAAGGAGTCAAGAATTGATACATGTACATTAAATAAAGGTGAAATTAATGAGAACAAATGACATAAACCTGTTACAGCTGTACTTTATCCGCTGTAACGCTGATATTTTTTTATCGTTGTTGTTTCTTAAGGAATATACTTACCAGGGAATATATTGATATGAATTTTGTCTCTTTAAGAGATAAAAATTCGGATTTGGTCCGGATCAATTTATCATCGAAGGAAGACATTTAAAACTAAATACTGTCGACAATTTCTCCCTTAAAGATAATTTAAATGTTGTTTCTTTTACTTCACACAAAGGGGCATTAGGGAACAGCACCAATCAGAGCTCCTTACCCAGTGCCAACTCCACAGTATCAAGAATGTCAGCCACTACATCCCAAGCAGCACAATTAGTGGTTGTTTCATCTACAATAATGGAGGAATCATCAGCATCAGTTTCCGTTACAAGATGTGCTTCCTTATCATCTCATACCGCAAAACTGTCCAGTGCTTCAACTGTAACACTAAAACAATCGACAAGTATGTGGAGTTTGAAGTCAAGTTGTGCACCTCCTACCACATCATCACCAGCCTCGTCACTTCCGAATATATCAGCCACGATTCTGGACATATCAGGAAGCACGCCAGGGTTACACTCATGTACTGTCCTGTCTTCATTAGCCTGTGCAGCCTTGTCGAAATGGAATGTCTCAACTTTCAGCGTGAAACAATCAAACAATACATCAACAGCACATTCAAGTATCTTTCCAACTATGACAGGGAAACAACCTGTACATTCTTTGACATCAGCTTTAACTAGCGCGCATAATGACAGATCATCCACTAGATCTTCCTCTCTATGCAGTTTGATTTATTACAGTTTATGTTCATCTTCCTCATCGTTGAATAATTCGAGTTCAACAGAGAAACAATCTTCCAGTCCTTCATCATCAGTATCCGACATCACGCCTTTTTTTACATCATCAAAAAGCTTGTCGACGTTGACCGTTTCAATCTTTACACTGGAGCAAACCAAAACTTCCACTTTCCCACATTCAAGTTCCATACTGAAACAGACATCAGGTACGACAAGTTCAGAGTCCATTGATGTGCCTTTCTCCTTATCTTCGACATCGACTTTGACATCATCGACTATTCCAAGTTCCCTACTGCAACAAACTACGAGTTCATCAAGCACAAACTCTCGTAGTGTTCTTTCCCCTTCATCTTCTCTTTATCTGTCGCCAAGTATTTCAGTTTCCATGCCACAACAATTAATAACAAGTTCATCTACTTCCACACTTAGACAATCGAGAAGTTTACCAACTTCAGATTCAAGTACTACAACCCCATTTTCTTCGTCATTACCCAGTGTTTCAAAAACGACATCGCAGGAAGGAAGTGCAGTTAATTCTTCATCTATCGCAGGGCATCAATCATCAATTGGCACATCAGTCCTACGATCGAACACAACGTACTTTTCTTCTCCAGCTGCTTCTGCATCGTCGTCGAAACTTTTCCTCACGATACAGGAAACAGTCGCAGCGAGCAGTTCAAGTCCCACACTTCAACAGACGAAAACTTCATCAAGGAGAGATTCTACAAATTTACCTCCCCTCTCATCTTCTCTAACCTTCTCATCATCCGGTATTGTCAGCTCCATGCTGCAGCAGGCAACACGTTCTACAGGTTCGGATTCAAATGGTGCACCTTATTCCACATCTTCTCAAGTTTCGCCGTCATCGAGTACTTCAAGTTACTTACTGCAACAGACACAAAGTCCATCAAGTTCAGATTCAGTTAGTGTGCCTTATTCCACGTCTTCTCCAGCTTCGCCCTCATCAAGTTTAA